TGGGAGAGGGAGAAGCAGGCTTCCCGCGGAGCAGGGAGCCTGATGCGGGGCTCGATCCCAGGACCCTGAGATCATGACCTGAGCCGAAGGCAGATACTTAAAGACTGAGCCACCCAGGCGCCCCTGTAGAAACAGTTTCTTATACTAAGGTTTTGTCTGCATGTGGTCAGTCATTACCCTTCTCTTCCTTTACCTTGTTAAAAGAAAAAGTCAGCAACTATTTGGAAGAAGGTAAGGAGTAAATCATAAATATTAAAATCCTATTATCCAAACCAACATACGTCATGTACTTTGATTTCTTGGAAGTCAGTTTTGAAAGTATAAGGGATAAGAAAAGAGCATGTTGGGACAGTGTTCAAATTTCTAATGGTCATTTAATCATAAGTATGGAAATCTCTTTAGTACTTTGCTGGCCACAATAGTTTCACGGGATCCCAAATAAATAAAAATGGCTAGTGGTAGAAAATTAAACAGCCACATTTGACAGAAAATTGAGTTCTTTGAGATTTTTATTCCATCTTGAGGGGACACAGTAGCATCTGGTTTTGCTTTGATCAGGAGTAGGTGGGGATCAAGGCCTTCAAATCTACTTTTTGGGTAATTCCTGCGGAGTTTAGTAATTTCTGCGTTGGAAGGCCCACGAGGGTGGGTCACTTATGTGGCTTAATCTAGAAGTTTGTCATTTACCTTATTACATATTAAGTGCAAAGGGCTAAGGAGCTTTACTATTAAAGGGCGTGGCTATTTCTTAGTTCCTGAACATCTTAAGTGCTAAATAGCATAGAGTTCCTTGTTCTTTTTCTTCTAAACTCTATGTATTTGTAGATGCTGGTGTCCGAAATAGAAATGAAACAAAGCAAAATGGATGAGTGTCAAAAATATGCAGAACAGTACTCAACTACAGTGAAGGTAAGAAGATTTAGTTCCTTGCATCAAATTTAATATTCAGGTATGTGATTCAACAATATACTTAAAAAAAAGAAGTCTCTGCAAGTCACTTCACTCTGTTAAATAGTGAAAACAGAGAATCTTCATGGGAGCCCTGGGACACTTACCTAATAATTGTCTGTGACATGTGAGTCCCATTGCAGCCTCTGCTTCATTCAGCCTCTCTCCATCACACACGTGTGCAGCCACACACGCACACACATCAGAATAGATGCGTGGCTCTGAAATTGGTCTCCCATCCAAGTACTAACCAGGCCCGACCCTGCTTAGCTTCTGAGATCAGGCGAGATCAGGCGCCTTCAGGGTGGTATGGCCGTAGACTCCGAAATCGGTTTCTTATCACTTTGTGCATGCTTGTGTATCTCTGTCTCTCTTCTTTAACATTGCTAGCATATTCCCTGGAAGAACTTGACTTTCTTAGGAGACATTTCGCATGTTTGAAGTTGTTGCCAATGCCTGGGCCTTAGCCATCCAGATCTACAGTTCCATTGCCTAGCCAGGGGAAAGGGAGGCTGAATGTAAACTAGCATATTATGACTGAGTGTTTCCGTGAGCTTCTAAAGAGACTTAGGAAACTTTTCTGACCACCCTAAATGTTTCTGATTTTTATTACCACCTTGGAAACATCCCAGAATTAGATAGATTCCTAAGAATGTGGTTTTGCAGTAATTTTTAAAAGTTACTTAGTGAAATCAGGTTCAATTTCTGTGCATCAAGTCACTATAGAATGAAGCATTAATGCTTTGCTTTAATTAATTTAATCTTACTGACTCCATTATACAGGACTATGAATTACAAACAATGACCTACCGGGCCATGGTAGATTCACAGCAGAAATCTCCTGTGAAACGCCGAAGAATGCAGAGCTCAGCAGATCTCATTATTCAAGAGGTAGTAAAAGTACAAGAGAGAGGGGAGGGGATATAAAGGAGAAAAACAATACTTAAAATATTATATTTATATATTTGTATTGTGGTATAATACACATAATAGAAAACGCACCATTTTAACCATTTTTAAGTTGCAATTCAGTGGCACTCAGTAACTTCACAGTGTTGTGCAAACCCGACTGCTGTCCATTTCCAGAACTTTCTTCCTTGTCCCAAAAAAGAAACCCTTACCTAAACGTGCAATTTATTAAGGGTTGTAAAAAAATCCTTGGAAAAGCTTTATTCAAGATTAATTATTAACTGCAGAGAATAACAAATGTACTTTGTAATTAAATTTAGAGAATTGTTATTGAGTATGGTTTGCACAGCAATAATAAGCCCATTCCTACCTACCTACCATTACTGGGCAATTGTGTATTTTACTGTCACAAAGGCTAGCTAATGTTATGATTATTAATCAACGTTCATTAAACTCATTTTAGAGCCACTGGAGATTATGTTTTTATTGTTTATTTCATTATTCACAGTTCATGGACCTAAGGACCCGATACACTGCTCTGGTCACCCTCATGACACAATATATTAAATTTGCTGGTGATTCATTAAAGAGGCTGGAAGAAGAGGAGGTAATGTTTAACTATGAACAGCTAACTTAAAAGGAACTACAATATGTTTGGGAAAACAAAAAAGTTTTCATGACAAAAATTTACATGGTTGATAAGTTATTATTTAATTAGACAATTACAGTGAAAAAGATTAGAGGCCTAGGATTTTTCAGTTTGTTTTTGATTCTCTCCAACAGGAAAACATTGTTTATTTTCACTCTAAGATGCTAACATTATTAGAGTTAATGTCTGAAACGGCTCTATTTAAATTATGAAATGTTGGCAGTTTGGCAGGATTTTTTTTTTTTTCAGTTTTCTCATATTTGAGAAATATACTTCTTTGAGTAGTATAGTTACTACTATTAAGATGTCTACAGATATACTAAATACGTTGGTTTTATACATTTTAAAGTAATTTACATTTTCAAGGATTTAAAACATAAAAGCCGTTAATTTAGAAGAAGGTTTTTGTACAAAATGATAATACTTTTTAAGAATTGTAGAGTTTTTTGTTTTATTTTTATTGTTCTCCAAAAGGTATGGTGTATGGTAAAAGACTATTTAAGTACCATTGTAATTTGGAGGATTTCTGTGCTTTGATTCTACATTTAAAAAGTATATTCAGAAATAGAGTAAAGAGTTATTTATGAAAATATATTGTCATAAAAGTCTGTTGTATCTAATTTTGAAGAGATTATACCATGCTTTATTATCTTGATATGCTTTCTATTCCTAACCTCAGAACAGACAAAAATAGTAGACAGAATGCTAAAATAAGTAAATCGTGAGGCATTAGCTATTTTAAATTAGACTGTTGTTGAACTTCTGAAGATGATTATACTTAGTGTAACTTCACATAATGAGAGAACTAAAACAGTAGTGGATGTCTAATAGATGTTACTTTCTTATTTTCTACTTGAGTCAACTATTTTAGTCTGTTCAGACTTAACAGTTTTCTGCTCCTAAATCACTAACGAAGCTAATTGCAAGTCTTTATAACTAGAGTCCTTTGTGCTTAGAAAGGAGAACCAGAGTATCTGTGACCATTCAAATAATTGGTATACATCTTTCACCTGTAAAAGAACATCTATAATATTTTTTCATTTTGTTTTTGAGAGAGATGGTTCCACTTAAAATGATATGTAGATCTTTTAAATTGTATGTTTAGTATACATTTTAAATTTTATATTTAGTTAAATGTAAGTCCTTTCCCTTTCTTAGAGTATATATCCGATTGCACATATATGAGCTGCTTCCCTCAGTTTATCTGATGAGGTATAATACTAGAAGTTGATAGAAGAGATTTTTCAAAAAGCCTGATATATATACAAATTATGCTTGTCATCCTTTGAAATGTAAAAGATTCATATTGAATTGAAAGTCAAAACAATATAGTTTATGGAAGACCATGCAGAGACTGTAACTTAAAATAGATAAAAAACATTGCTGATTAAAAATTCACCACTAAAAGATCATACTAATGGAATGTCTCATAAAAAGATACATAGCTCAGTTTTCAGACTCGAGAGTGGTATTTCTGAAATTGAGTCTACAAAGACTTACATTGGAAATCTTGGTCTAAGAGCAGAATTTTTTATAATAAACATAAAATCAAAGAGGGTTACAAGTTAATTTCAGAAGAGGAAACCGAATTAGAGAAATGTTAGTAGAATATCTGTAATGACTGTTAGATGGATAAAGAGATTTTCTAGTCTGTGTTGAGAGAAAAGTACATCAAATATTAATTGATAAGATTAAAGGACAGGATGTTTCCTTGGGGAACATTTAGAGAAAACTTGGGAAGTTATTTTTATGTGAGTAAGTTTGAGATTTAAGGGAAAGCACATCAGCAATAGGATTAAATTACTTCTAGTAATTTGTGTAGTATTTGCTAAAAAATTCAGAGTTATCTAGACAGTGTGAGATTTTTAACAATCACTAAAATGACTGTTATTAAGGTACTGAGGGTTCAATAACAAAAATTTTTTTTCTGAGAGAATTTTCATTTTTCTAACCTCAGAACATGACAGAGAAAAAAGAGGGCTCAAAACCTCTTAGGGACAGCTAAGTTTTAAAGGAGTTTTGATAAGCAATTGAGAAAGACCCAGTTAGAAATTATCTCAAAAAATACCGAAAATTTAATATTTAAGCAGATAAAATGCTTCAGTGTCACCAGTTCACCCTGATAACAAAATAAAATAGAGCACTAATTATTGCAGGTTGTGATGAGATTTGTTTTTATATGAATTCTTATTATGGAAAACCATATTTAGGTTAGCAAAGGAAACAACTGCAATTCTTGTTGAAATTATTGGGGATCAAAAAATTAGAAGAAGCAAAGTAAGATATGTAGTCTATAATGTAAAATAAATTCTTGAAATTCACCAAGGCCTCTCAATGAAAAAAAAAAAAAACTATCTAGAATAATTTCTCTACTCCTGTTTAAATGGTTCTAATTATGATGATTTTGAGTTGGTGAGATGAAACTAATAATCTTACGGTATTAATAAAACAAATTAAATTGGCATTCTGTGCTAGCCCTGATCATGCAGAGTGTACTCCTCCCAGCTGAGATTGAATCTTCTATCAGTTGAAAAAAATTTTTCTTATATTTTATACTGTACATTGGAGTTGACTCCCTAAGTATATTTTTAAAAACATTTATATTTAACAAATATCTTTATATTTATGGAGTATCTAAAGGTACTTGTCAATGTGGATTCATATAAGGCATGTCATTAACAACAACAACAACAAAATCTGTGAGTATATGAAGCACATCTTTTCTAAAGCCCCTAGGGACTATAGCTGCCTTTGCATTAGCAACTCTGATTATTATAATTGTCATAATATGGCAAGTACAAACAAATAAGGAATAGAAATTACACGGTTTTATATAATTTTCCTCCTTGCGCATCTGAAGTATTATTTCTTGATTTGACTCTTTAAAGTGGTACCAAAATTCTGCATTTTGTTTCTTTAACCATTAAACAGGGAGATGTAAATATCATTTCATTTTTATATATATATTTTAAAGATTTATTTATTTTAGAGAGAGAGAGAGAGAGCATGCATGAGTGGGAGGGGCAGAGGGAGAGGGACAATCTCAAGCCGACTCCCTGCTGAGAGCCGAGCCCAAAGTAGGGCTCCATCCTACCACCCTGAGATCATGACCTGAGCTGAAACCAAGTGTCGGATGCTTAACCAGCTGTGCCACTGAGGTGCCCCCCCTCCTTTTTAAAGATTTATTTATTTATCTTAGAGAAAGAGAGATAAATATTTTAAATTTCCATTGGGCCAGGTATTAAAAACTGAAGTTTTAAGTGTCATTTGGTTCCTATATGTTCTTAGTTTGTAAGACTGAGTTGTGTGTGAAAGCAGAAAGGGCGCTGCTGTGAGTTTTATTTCCCACTTTGTCATTTAGTTTTCAAAACTATTTGACCTCTCTGCACCTCAGTTTCCTCATCTGTAAAAGGTTGGGGTCCTGCTGTATGTTTTGTGAGGTCCCTCCTTTCTTGCTGTCAACTCTTGAGCTAGCTAATTTTTAAAACAAAATGATTCCTGAGAGACAAAAAAAAAAGATTGTTTGGTTTAGCAAACTTGACATGAAGGGTTTTTTTTTTGTCTTCTCCCATTGCTGACTTTCTGAAGCTTCCTCTCTGAAGAAGGTAGAGGTGCTGGTGCTGCTGACGGTGGTGGTGATCGTGCTTGTTCTGCATTTGGTTTCGCTTCTTTTTATAAGCACTTTTATGAGCATCGCTTCAAGTTTTTTAAGATAAATTTGAACAGAACAGGTTTGACACTTGTAAACGTCTCTTGTAGATTAAAAGGTGTAAGGAGACTTCTGAACATGGGGCATATTCAGATCTGCTTCGGCGTCAGAAGGCAACAATGATTGAGAATAGCAAACTTACGGGAAAAATAAGTGAATTGGAGAAAATGGTGGCTGAACTAAAGAAACAAAAGTCCCGAGTAGAGGAGGAACTTCCAAGGGTCAAGGAGGCTGCAGAAAATGAATTGAGAAAGCAGCAGAGGAATGTAGAAGACATTGCTCTGCAGAAAATCAGGGCCGAGAGTGAAGCCAAGCAGTACCGCAGGGAGCTGGAGACCATTGTGAGGGAGAAGGAGGCTGCAGAACGGGAGCTGGAGCGGGTGAGAAAGCTCACATCGGAGGCCGAGGCCAAAAGAGCGGCAGTGGAAGAAAACCTCCTGAACTTCCAGAACCAGTTAGAGGAGAACACCTTTACAAGAAGAACCCTGGAAGATCATCTTAAAATAAAAGATTCCACTCTCAATGACTTGGAGCAACAAAAAAATAAGTTAATGGAAGAATTAAAAAGAAAGAGAGACAATGAGGAGGAACTCTTGAAGCTGATAAAGCAGATGGAAAAAGACCTAACGTTTCAAAAACAGATAGCAGAGGAGCAGTTAAAAGAAAAGCAGAAGATCGAACTGGAAGCAAGAAGAAGAATAACGGAAATTCAGTATTCATGTAGAGAAAATAAGTTGCCACAGGCTACGTCATACAGAGGAGTCACAGGTCTTCAGAAAGAGCAGGACAAACAGAAGACAGAAGAACTCAAGCAGCAGGTCGATGAGCTAACAGTCGCCAATAGAAAGGCTGAAAAAGACATGAGAGAACTGAAGTATGAACTTAATGCCCTTCAGCTTGAAAAAACTTCATCTGAGGAAAAGGCTCGTTTGCTAAAAGAAAAACTGGATGAAACCAATAATACACTGACGTGCCTTAAGTTAGAATTGGAAAGGAAGGATCAGGTAGAGGAAAGGTATTCCCAGCAGCTCAGAGAACTGGGTAGGCAGTTGAACCAAACCACAGACAGAGCTGAAGAAGTCATGCAAGAAGCTAATGACCTTAGGAAAACAAAGCACAATTATGAAGTAGAATTAGAATCTCTTCAACAAGAAAAAGGGAAACTGCAAAGAGAAGTAGACAGGATCACTAGGACCCATGCTATAGCTGAGAGGAATATTCAGCATCTAAATTCACAAGTTAATGCTTT